TCAAAAAACATTCAAGGACATTCAAGGATAAGTGTAATTTTTGGCTGTTTTCACAAACTTTCCAGGGCCTTGAAATCATTGTCAAATTCACAAACTTTCAAGTATTTCTAGGACCCGTGGGAACCGTGTAACAAGTATGGACTGCTTCAAATCTGTTGCTTTGTCCAAGATTCAGCCGAGTCAATTACTGAGACAAAGTCTGTAACTTTCACTTTGCTTGCTTTAAAAAAAAAAGCAGATGCATGAATCTTTAGGTAAAACTGTTTGAATAAAAATAAGAGTCAAATCTCTGTTATAAATATGTGTATTTATTTTTGTTTTCAAATGTGAAGCAATAAAAAATGTCCTCATCAAAACAAAACAAAAACAACTTGAGTGAACTTTAAGAAATTATATCAACTTAATAAACTGGAGTTACGTGACTGGAAAACAGAAAACATTAAACTCAAACTTTGACTCCATAAATAAATTCTTCACTGTACTCCAGAGTTAGAAAAATCACACATTTCACTTTGTCATTAAAAACATAATAAAGTCAAATATAAAATAAAAAAAAAGTATACAAAAACTTAACAGGGGAACAATCTGCAAAACCTTTTGAAAAGTAGGTTATGTGCTGCAGAAAATGATTAACATAAAAAGCAATATTTAAACAAACATACATCCACATCATCCATACATCTACAGCTGTGTGTGTGTGTGTGTGTGTGTGTGTGTGTGTGTGTGTGTGTGTGTCAGCCTCAGGGTTTGTTGATCTGACCCATAAACAGGATGGTACCTGCAGAACAGAGATGAGACAATTCATCAGATTTCTAATTTCAGCCTAAAACACAAATATAAACTCTAAATCAACTTTATTATCCACTTAAGGGAAATACAGTTTGTCACACAAATGGGGAAAAAAAACAAAAGCATAAAAAAATTGAAACTAAAAAACATGATACATAAATGACATTAGTTCAAAACAAATACTGACCAAAACAAAATGTTGATGCTAATCAAACTACATTTAATGAGTAAAGTTTGTGTGTTTACCTGTTGGGTGATGTCTGATGAGGAAGAGGAAAGGTCTGTCCACTGTGACCCAAGGAGGGGAGGACCGAGCCATCAAAACAGCAGCTGAAAAAATGTAGAGAAAAACAGTTAAAACATCTCAAAGACTCCAACTCCTTGGTATGATACAGGTGCTGGTCATAAAATTAGAATATCATGAAAAAGTAGATTTATTTCAGTAATTCCATTTAAAAATTGAAACTTGTATATTATGTTCATACATTACA